TAAAGATCAGAAAACGTCCAGGCTGGGTTTGGGTTTCCTTGATTTGTCCAGCAGGTGTCGCCCTGCATGATTATTCAACAGCGCCACCATGTTGTCACAGCCCGAGCTCACAGCGACCTCGTACGCTGTCTGACCGTTTGCGTTTTGTTGCCTCACACTAGCCCTACAGCTGAGGGCGGAGGGGAAACAGAAGATGGACATGACGTTATTACCACATCATTTCAACTGTGTGTGTGTGTGTGTGTGTGTGTGTGTGTGTGTGTGTACCTTAGAAGGACCTGGGCACACTGAAGACCTTCTGAGCCCCGCGCTGCAGCCTCATGAAGAGCTGTGTTCTTCATTCTGAGCAGGAGGAATATTATGATACAGTAGGATTTTATGGAAATGAGCAAGAAAACAAATCCCCCAAAAGAATTTAATTGTTAAACTTAAAGCTTTCAGAATAGAAAAACTACAAATATGCAGTTGGTGCAGTTCAGAATGCATAATCTCTGTTGTTCACACCCCACTCTAATATTCAGGCTTTAAACAAACACTGCAGCGTCTGATGCCGTACCGTCCTGACTTCTGGTCAACGTCTGCTCCTCGCTGCAGCAACACAGGAAGTACGTCATGGTGACCACTGACCACAGCCACTGCCAGAGCATGTCGGCCGTCAGGGTCGCAGCAAGAAGGGTCTGCCCCCTAGTGGTCAACCAACCAACAAACAAACAAAAATAAGTCATACAGGTATTTATACAAAGTTTTAATGGGTTCCTCTGGTATAATTTGGTGTTTGACATTTTCCAGCTTTGATTAAAAACATGCATTATTTAAAGCCCGACTTATGGATCATTTGATCCAGAGTAGCCAGCTGATTGGCTGCAGAAACTGGTACCTGATCAAGAAGCTCCTGGATGACACTGACATGTCCTAGACCTGGACCCAGTTCCTTCAGCAGCTGAACATCCTTCATCTGCAACGACCCATGAAGAGGAGGGACACGAGCTTAGAACTGGATACCATCACCAACCCTCCCATGCACTTGATGTGGTCTACTTTTTATTCTTACCGCAGGTTTGGGCGTCAGGTTCCGTCTGTAGCGTTTGATCCCACCTGTGCTCAGTTCACTTCCTGTCAGAATCAAATATGACAAAGTTACAGGTAGATTTGAGTGACAGCTGGTTGTTAAAGGTTAGTTGCAGCGTGGGAAATTAGGACCTTTGTTACTGAGGTCGCCACCGCTGCTGTTGTCAGTAAAGCGCTCCATAATGCTGCTAAGACTTCCAGTTCGTCCCGCTGATAGAACCCGACCCACTGGTCCAATGAGAGAATCTGACAGATCCACGACATCATCTTCAGGGAACACCTTCAACCATACACACACTGCCACATTACGTACTTTTAATTATGTAAATTTAACACGAAGAGTAAATGTGTCGAATGAAAACATACCTGTGCTTTTTTTGATGCTGCAGACACGAAGCTAACAGTCAACGTGACCTCACAACCGTCATCTTCAAAAACAGCAGACACCAGCTGAGGGCGCCAAGATACGAAACGTCAGACACTCCAGATACACCAGGTCACAGGTTAATGGGTGTCAAAGTGACAGGTGTTACCCGGCCTAGTCGGGGTTCTCCCACCAGTGTCCTGAAGGGGGCGTTGTTTTGAGTGTAACTTCTCAGGTGAGCACATATATGATCCAGCTGCTTCCTCCAGTAACCTGAAGACACGGTTCGTTTAGGATTGTTCTAGTTCTACTGGTACCAGTAGAAGCAGTGGTGGTAATATCACCAGTATCAAGAAAAAAACTGCGTCAGCTTTAACAATATCACAGTAGTACTGTAGTAGTAAGAATTCCCACTTTTATCGCAGTATCAAATCAAGTATTATAAGTACTTGAAGTGTACCTCGTCCCGGGCTGATGGCACTGCGGGGCGGTTGTCGGTCTCTGCTTGGCTGCTCTCTGCTGAACAGCAGCGCCCTCTGTTGGCCCTTATTGTGGAGTTCAGCGGCTGAGGGGAAGTACAGCCCAACAGTCTGTGTGCACTGGTCCACAGTGGGCGGGGCTACCTTTACATTTGGGATGCAGTCAGACTGGTGCATGGCCTCAAAAGAGAACGACAGCATCTGTCGGTCGAAGCTGGTGTGAGGTTTAACGTCAGTGCACACTGAGACGTACCTGGTGAGGGGAGGGGCCGTTTTCCATGGTGGGTGGGGCCACCGCTTCCTGCTGTTCCCCACAGGCTGCACAGTAGAGGGCATACGGGGGTCCACCTGCTCCACACTGCCAACATGTCACACAGCTGGTGGGAGGAGCTGGCTGCAAACATACGTCACAGTTTGTTGGGAGTTTAATAAATCAAAAATACGTTATTAATGTTATTAAAAGATACGTTTTTGTTGTGTTTGTGTTTGTGTTTGTGTTTGTGTTTGTGTTTGTGTT